AGTGAGATCGTTCTAGGAATCACTGCAACAGTCTTGCAATAGGGGAGAGTGATTGGGCTTAACTCCAAAGCCTGCATGTGCAAGTAGAATTTTATAGCCAAGGAGCAGTATAGGGGTCAGTGAATGGAGAATCACTGAGAAGAAACATCAGGGAAAAGGGGAATCTGGCTAACAGGATTCTTGCTGCAGACAAGCCAGAGCAATCAGACATCACTTGGTTGGTGGTGGAGGCTTGCAGAAACCTGATCAGATATTGCAGGTGATCAGGAGTGGAGGATAGAGGGTTCTTGCTAAATTGGCTTAGGAGGTTTCTTTGCTAAAACTGGATTTTACAGGGAAGTGCACAGATGGGCTCAGCAGAAGATTCAGAAGCCTGGCTAAAGTTTGGCCAAAGAATCTTTGTCAGTGCACCCCTACCTTGAAAACCAACCATGATGCTGAGGCTAATAAACGTTTACTGACCTCATTCTTTGTGTCAGGCACCAGTTTAAGCACGTTTTTATGTGTCCTCTCATTTAAACCTGACAATCCTCAGAGATAGGTACTACATTTATTTTCTTTTTTCAGATGAGGAAATAGGTCAGAGAGGTGAAGCCATTTGCCCAAAGTCACACGGTAAATGTGTGGATGAGCCAGGACATCCACCCATCCCCCTAAAATATCTAAATCTGAAACTGAGGCTCCTAAACACCATCCTTTTTGAGGTTTGTTTATTTATTTATGAGACACAGGGTCTCACTCTGTCCCCCAGGCTGGAGTGCTGTCACCAGATCACAGCTCACTGCAGCCTCCACCTGCTGACCTCAAGCAATCCTCCCACCTCAGCCTCTCAAGTAGCTGAAACTACAGAATCTCACCACTATAGCCAGCTAATTTTAAAATTTTTTGTAGAGATGGGATCTCACTATATTGCCCAGGCTCCATTCTGAGATTTAATTCATTAGTATGATCAAATCTTAGTGCCAGAGTTTAGGGACAGTCTAAATTCTTCATCTCTAGGCCGGGCGTGGCGGCTTACACTTGTAATCCTAGCACTCTGGGAGACTGAGGCAGGAGAATCACTTGAGGTCATGAGTTCAAGATTAGCCTGAGCAAGAGTGAGACTCCATCTCTACAGAAAAATAGGAAAATTAGCCAGGTGTGGTGGTGCATGCCTATAGTCCCAGCTTCTTAGGAGGCTGAGGCAGGAGAATTGCTTGAGCCCAGGAGTTTGAGGTTGCAGTGAGCTATGATGAAGCACTGCCACGTTTTTGTTTTTTTCTGAGCCCAGGCCAACAGAATGAGACTGTTTCATTTTGTCTCAAAAAAAAAATTAACGGTATCAATTTAGCAAAGTGAAATCACCTCTTTTATGGGACAGTTCTACAAGTTTGTATAAGTTTTATGTTTGTATAATAAAATAATTACTAAACAATGTATGTAATTGTATAGCCATTACCATAAATAAAAGTAGATAGAAGGATGGTGTTACCAGTGCCCAAAGGTTTCCCTGATGCCCTTCGTGTAGTAGCAAGTGCTCCTTTCTGTTTTTGAGACAGGAGTCTCGCTTTTTTCCAGCTAGAGTGAGTGCCATGGCATCAGCCTCGACTCACGAGCAACCCTCATCTCCTGGGCTCAAGCGATCTCCTGCCCCAGCTCCGAGTAGCTGGGACTACAGCATGCGCACCCATGCCGTGCCAATTTTTGTTTGTTGGTAGTATTATGATTTTTAGTTGGTCAATTAATTTCTTTCTATTTTTGGTAGAACAGGGTCGCGCTCAGCTGTTTCGAAATCGCTTGACCTGAGCAATCTCGCCCGACTCGGCTCCAAAGTCTAGATTACAGCGTGAGCCCCGCGCCCGGCCTGCAAGTCTCCTTTTATGACCCCTGAACCCCTGATCTTTTTTCTGTCCTTATAGTTTTGCCTGAACAAGTATGTTACATAAAGGGAATTATGCAGTCTCTAGACTTTTGAGTCTGGCTTCTTTCACTTAGCATAACACATGTGAGGTTCACCCATGTTGCTGAGTGTATCAACAGTTCATTGCTTTTTATTCCTGAGCAGTGTTCCATCGTATGCACTGCAGTTTGTTCCTACCTTCCCTAGTTGAGGGACCTTTGGGTTGTTTCCAGGTTTTAGTTATTGCAAATAAAACTGCTATGAGTATTTCTGTACAGATTTTGGTAAGAACAAAATTATTCACTTCTCCACGGTAAATACCAGGAGGGTCATATGGTAAATAAATAGTTTACCTTATAAGAAACTGTTAAACTGTTTTCCTAAGTGGAATATCATTTTGTATTTTCACCAGTAATGATAAGAGCTCCAGTTGCTCTGTATCCTCATTAGTATTTGGCATTATCAGTTTAAAAAATTTTTAGCTATTTTGGTTGGGTATGGTAGTACACATCTGTAGTCCCAGCTAATCAGGAGCTGGAAAAAATTTTTTTTTTTTTTTTTGAGACAGAGTCTCACTTTGTTGTCCAGGCTAGAGTGAGTGCCGTGGCGTCAGCCTAGCTCACAGCAACCTCAAACTCCTGGGCTCGAGTGATCCTTCTGCCTCAGCCTCCCGAGTAGCTGGGACTACAGGCAGGCCACTATGCCGGCTAATTTTTTTTATATATATATCAGTTGGCAATTAATTTCTTTCTGTTTATAGTAGAGACGGGTCTCGCTCTTGCTCAGGCTGGTTTTGAACTCCTGACCTTGAGCAATCGCCCGCCTCGGCCTCCCAAGAGCTAGGATTACAGGCATGAGCCACAGCGCCCGGCCGAAAACAAATTTTTTTTTAGTCATTTTAACAGATATGTGGAAGTATCTCATCTTGGTTTTAATTTGTATTTTCCTAATGACTAATGTTGTTGAGCATATTTTCATGTGCTTAGTTGCCATTTTTATATCTTCTTTGGTGAGATGTATATCTGTTCATATCTGTTGCCCATTTTTTTAAAAAATGGGTTGTTTTCTTATGATTGAGTTGTTTTTGTTTTTGTTTTGAAGCAGCTTCTTGCTCTGTTGCCCAGGCTAGAATGCAGTGGCATCATCATAGCTTACTGCAACCTCAAACTCCTGGGCTCAAGCAATCCTCCCACCTCAGCCTCCCAAAGTACTAGGATTACAGGTGTGAAACCACATGCCTGACCTATTATTGAGTTTTGACAATTCTTCATATATATGGGATGCAAGTCCTTTATCAGATATACGCTTTGCAAATAATTTCTCCCAAACTGGGGTTTGTCTTTTCATTCTTTTTTTAACAGTGTTTTTCAAAGAGCAGAATTTCTTAATTTTAATAAAGTCCATTTTATCAATTGTTTCTTTTAGGGATCATGCTCTTGGTGTATCTAAGAGCTCTTTGCCTAACCTAAAGTCAAAAAGATTTTCTCTTATGTTTTCTTCTAGAAATGTTATGTAACCATAGTATTAATAGCTACCTCATAACTTTGCTGGACTAAATGCAGACATGTGTGTAAAGCCCCCAGCCCGGGGCCTGGTGGAGGGTAAATGCTCAGTACACTGAGCTAAGATGGACACTTGCCTACACGATGTTTGTAAAACATGCCCTCTGGCCCACCACACTTTCCTCTGCGCAAATCTGATGTCCTGTCATCCCAGAATGACAGGATACCAGGGCGGCAAAAGCCTCTGCAGATGTCCTTGTCCAGCCTGCTCCTAGAACCAATGAAGGAAACCCTAGGCATAGCGCGGGCGGTGAGGACTACAGGTCCGCCTGGGAGCCAGCCCTGGAAGGTGCCCTTCCCCACCCCCACCCCGCGCAGGGAGCACTCCTCCATCCAGCCTCAAGATTCCACTGTGCAGCCGCATACCTGGAGCTCTAGCCCACGCTGTGATAGATAGGGTGATGGGGACTAGGGTCCATTTATTGAGCACCTACTGTGTGTTCAGGCCCTTGGATATCTACTGAGCACCTACTTGCGTGTTCAACAGTGAACAAAATAGACAAACTTACAAAGGAGACCATGAAAAGTAATTACATTATTAATTACTAGATTAAGGAAAGGGGCCACTGCTGGGTGGGAGGTCGGGGAGAAGTCGTACAAAGAATTTACATGGCCGAGTGCAGTGGCTTTCGCCTGTAATCCTAGCTCTCTGGGAGGCTGAGGCGGGCAGATTGCTGGAGGTCAGGAGTTCGAAACCAACCTGAGCAAGAGCGAGACCCACCTCTACTATAAATAGAAAGAAATTAATTGGCCAACTAACATATAGAGAAAAAATGAGCCAGGCATGGTGGTGCATGCCTGTAGTCCCAGCTACTGGGGAGACTGAGGCAGCAGGATCGCTTGAGCCCAGGAGTTTGAGGTTGCTGTGAGCTAGGCTGACGCCACTGCACTCACTCTAGCCTGGGCAACAAAGTGAGACTTTGTCTCAAAAAAAAAAAAAAAAAAAAGAATTTACTGCCCTTCCTCAGCCTCCACCACGGCCCTCCAGCTGGAAGGGGAGGAGTAGGAGCGCGCAGACACAGGGATGCACATGACGTCATCGTAAGGGCTAGGTGGAAAGGTGGTCCAGGGAGATGGGGGTTGCTTTGGAGGGCCTTGAGAGAGGGTTGTTCTTTCATTCACTCGAGAATCTCTCGTGCGGCACCTACTGTGCGCCGAGCACCCTCTGAGGAGGACGAACGCGGCTCCTGCCCTCTCACTGTATCTGGGGCGGCCAGAGCGACAGGAAACAGGCAAACACATAACGAAGACGGTTTCGGCCAGAGCCGACGCTCGACGCTGGAAGGGGCTGCGACGCGGGGCAGGGGCGGCCGCCGGGGCGGGGAAACGTCCCGCACTTGCAGCGCACACACCCCCTCCGCCTGCGCCGCGCAAAGAGGTCACCGCGCTAGCGACAAGCACGCGGTCCACCCGGGCCGCAGCGCGCGCGCCCCCGCGAACGAGGGCGCGCTCCGCCCAGCCCCCGCCCGCGCCCCGTGAGCTGCGCCCGCCGCGCACGACGCCCTCGCGGGAGCCCTGGGCCGCGCCGGCCGCGCGCAGGGAGGGGCGGGGGCGCGCGGCACGCTGAACCGGTCTCGGTCGTGCGCGGTCGCCGCGAGCTGGGGGGCACCGCGCGGGTGCAGCCACGATGGAAGGGGGTGCGTACGGAGCGGGCAAAGCCGGGGGCGCCTTCGACCCCTACACCCTGGTCCGGCAGCCGCACACCATCCTGCGCGTCGTGTCTTGGGTAAGGACGGGCCAGGTGACCGGCCAGGCGGGCGCGGTGTAGGCAAGGGCGGAGCGCCCGACCGACACTGACCCCCCGCCGGGCCCCTGGCAGGGGCGCGGCAGCCGGCTGCGAGCTGCCCTGTCGGCCGTGCGGGCACCCACTGCTCCTCCTTCCCGGCCCCGAGCGGGGTCCTAGCGCTTGCGGGGGGTGGGGGACGCCGCTCCCGGAGCCCTGGTTTCCCGGAGGGCTCCCCATTTGTGCGACCCCTTCTCCACCCCATTTGTGCGACCCCCTCTCCACCCCATCGCCGTGACCTCCAGGCCGCGGCTATGCAGCTAGTGGCTCGGGTTGAGCGGCCGCCCGGGCTGGACTGGGGACGGTAGGGATGGAGCACGGGTTTCAGGTGGCCTTTTGGGGGTGGATCAGGGCGTGGGTCATCTCGCTGGGGTGCACGCGGCTCCTGCCGTGGACGTTGGGGGAGGAGAGGGCAGGGAACTGGGCTTTTATTGCCTTGCCTGGACTGTGTGGAGCGACGAATTGGGAGCTGGATACCTGGCTTCTCCCCGGGAACTGCCTCTCCTTCTCCGCGTGACCTTGGACTGGGAACCACCCAAGAAATGGTCACGGGAAATGAGGAATTCAATTTCGAGGTGGAGAGTGTCACCTCCTCCCTCATGCCTCAGTTTCCTGATTTATAGAGAGGGTGGGAGGAGCCTCCATGAAGCCCCCTTAGGCTCTGACATTTCATGAATTTACAACACCCTCAACCCCAACATACACCTGGGTGCCTATAGAGGTGTCTTGGAGAAGGGGGACCTCCCGCAGGGGTGGGGGGCTGTGCAGAGGGCTGAGCTGGCTTCTTGTTCAGACTTGGTGGGGTTGGGACAGAACCAGTGAGCACAGAAGGAGGGGTTCACGCGGTCTGGGCAGTGCCTCAGGGGAAGAAGGCCTTCTGGGGCTCCCTGGGGTCAGCTGGCCACCACCCAGACCAGAAGGGCCTGGATGGGGGCTGCGGGCAGAGGCACTTTCAGGCACTCCAGGGGCCTACACCTGAGGCCAGCTGAGATCTCCAGGTACTCAAGCTCCCCCCTTTCCTGGGTTTTCAGGACCCTATTAGGGTCTGGTGGGTGGGATAACCTGCCAGTAAGCTGCTACTTTCTTTGTCTAGAAACATTGAAACCTCCTCCTGGGGCCACAGAATGGGTGACCATGTTTAAACCCCTTTCTTCTCAAATGCCTGGCAGATGGGGAGCTCTGTGAGGGCAGGGAAGCTGGGTTCTGTTAGTGTCCCCAGTGCCTGCAAAGGGCACGGCACCCTGGCACATCCATGAGGGTTCATGGCACTGAATTCGTTCATCTGTGCCCGTCTCCGGCCCGGACAGAAGCCCCAATAGGCCCTTGGCAAAGGTGGGCGCCTTGGGGGGCACCTGCCAGCTCAGGTGGGCCAGCTGTGTGCATTGCTCCCGGCTGCCAGCCCCTGGGCCTCTGGCTTGAGTAGGGAAGCCACTGGCTGTGTGAGGGGCGTGGGCGTTTGTCTGCTTGGGTCATCTCTGCCTGTGATGGCTTCATTTAGCAAAGTGCTATTGAGTCTGCGGCCCGGAGGGAAGGTGGCATGACTCAGACACAGCCCTCGTGCTCTGCTCAGGGAGCCCAGTCCCACTGGGGAGTGAGCCAGGTGCCCTCAGGCAGGGGCGGGAGAGCCAAGAGAGGGGTCTCCCTGCTGTAGAATCCAAAGTGTCCTGGAGAAGGTGATGTCCAGGAGGCCAGGAGGCATGAGCGGGGTTTCTTCGTGTGTACAGCAGGTGAGAGGGTGTGGAAAGCAGGAGGAAGGAAAAGCAACTCTGATCGAGCACCTACTGTGTGCGGGCGTACACACAGTTCCCCAGCCAGTTCCCCTAGCACGTGAGGAAGCTACGGCTCAGTGAGGCCAAGTGCCCGGCCCAGGGTGCCTGAGCATGTGAGTGGCAGGTGAACACTCGAATCCAAGTCTTCCGTCTGCAAAGCACAGTGCTTCCCCTGGGCAGGGAAGAATGTGGAATCCTGGAATGTCAGGATTGGACAGGACACGGAGCTTCCTGGGCCAAGCCCCATCCAATGCCAGATCCCTCGGTGTCCTCCCTGCTCACACAGCTGGACACAAGGCGCTCACTACTTTTGTCTGAGCAGAAACATCCCATACGGGCTGATTGACACCTTTAAAAAATAGTTTTTTTCTGATCATTAAAGTAATACCTGCCAGTTATTGCAAAATATAAAAATCACACGTGATGGTTGCACAACAATATGGTTGTACTTAAATACCACTGAACTGTGCACTTAGAAATGATCATGATGGGCCGGGCGCAGTGGCTCACGCCTGTAATCCTAGCACTCTGAGAGGCCGAGGCGGGTGGATTGCTCGAGGTCAAGAGTTCGAAACCAGCCTGAGCAAGAGTGAGACCCTGTCTCTACTATAAATAGAAAGAAATTAATTGGCCAACTAATATATATAGAAAAAATGAGCCGGGCGCGTGCCTGTAGTCCCAGCTACTCAGGAGGCTGAGGCAGGAGGATCACTTGAGCCCAGGAGTTTGAGGTTGCTGTGAGCTAGGCTGATGCCACGGCACTCACTCTAGCCTGGACAACAAAGTGAGACTCTGTCTCCAAAAAAAAAAGAAAGGGAATGATCAGGATGGTAAATCTTATGATAGGTGCATTTTACCACAATGGAAAAAGTTTAGGGGGAACAATCACGTGACATCACCACTTAGGGAGGGCTGTGTCTGCGAGGGCTAAGTCAACAAGGCTCTGTATCTCTTATGGTCTTCTTGAAAACCAAGTGGTGCACCGAGCCATTTTAACACCCAGCCAATGGATGCAGCCGGCACCTGCTCTTGGCCCTCACGCTGCTCTGCACGCCACAGGGCCTAGCAGGTGGCAGGCTTCACCATGGAGCAGGTGAAGCCTGAGCTCCAGGGCTAGGGTGACCAATTTGTCCTGGTTCGCCGGGACTTTCCTGTCTTTAAAACTGAAAGTCCCAGGTCCCAGGAGCCCCTGAGTCCCAGACAAACTGGGCTGACGGCTGCCCTTATCCAGGACTCCTCCTGCACTACCCAGGTGCCTGCCACGGCCCTGGAGGGGCCTGCCAGTGTGTGCCCATGGACTTGTGATTTTGTAAAATTTGTAAAGTATACGTTTTTTTTTCTGTTGTTTTTCCAAAAGAGCACCCACAAATGGTGTTAGCTTCATGGCCTCACCAAACCTGGACTTACCCTGGAATCTGAGTCCCCTGAGTCCCCAGGCCTGGCTGGGCAGAAGCAGGACCCCTAGGACCTGACTTGTTGCTCTTTTTTTTTTTTTTTTAAAGAGATGGAGTCTTGCCATGTTGCCCAGGCTGGTTTCAACCTCCTGGCCTCAACCAATCCTTCTGCCTCAGCCTCCTGAGTACCTAGAACTATTGGCATGGGCCACCATGCCCAACATGGCTTGTCTCTTGACTAAGGCTTTCTCAGCTCCTGGTGTCATTACCCCCTGCACCCCCGCCCCTGGACTAGGCCAAACCAGACCTGAAGCTCCTGCCCTGGGCTGAGTAGGAGATGGCTGAGTTGGGACATTGTCCAGGGCAAGCTCAGAGCTGCTGCCTGACTCGGGCTTTGGGGAAATGGGGCAGTGCTGACTGAGGGGACAGGAGATTGGCTGCCACTCCTGGCTCCCCTAGGCCACAGCTGTGACCTTCAGCAAGTGTCCCCTCCCCACCCTCTGTGTCGCTATCTCCCCTTCTGAACAAGGAGGCTGGGTTAGGGCAGAGGTGCCCGATTGATCGCTCTGTGACTACAGCCTGTCAGTGACTCATTTCTTTGTTCTACAGCAGATGGGAGAAAAGGACTTACAGCCAGGAGCTAAATTGATTTAATATAAAGGACCACCTTTTATTTGGAATTTATATTCTTTTTCCATGGTACTGAAATGACTTATGGGGAGAGAATGTCAGTGCTGATAGAAGAGGGAGGTATTTTATTTTTTTAATCCTCTGTTTTGGCAAAATAAAATGATAAAACATTTGAAATTTTGCCATTTTCAGGGTTAATCTTTTAAGGGCTTTGGCTGTACAGCCCATGGTTCTGTAAGTAGGGTGCTGTTTTTCTCCCCACTTTACAGGCCACAGAGTTAAGGCTCAACCCGGAGAAGTGACTCATACTAGCTCAAGGCCTGGGACTGTAAAGCTGTGTTTGAACCCGATCTAGGGGGCCGCACCTTCCATGCACTGCCGTGGGCTTCCCTGCCTGGGTCACAGTGTCACCAAGGGGTGGCTTGCAGGTGCAGCTTTCCAGCCCCATTTTTATTACCTCCCTCTAGTCATCCCAAGTGAACACTGGGTAAAAAAGCTGAACTTGTTTTGTTAACACAGCAGCTTCAAGATGAGAATCCCCCAACCTGTTTGCTGTGCCCCCGCCATTCTAGATAAACATTCTGGAGCATCTGTGGTGGGGGAAGGGGGTCCAGGGTGGAGACAGCCTCTGGCCGGCTCTGATGTTCATCCATTCCTTCCACAAATACCCAGTCCCGGCACTCCTGGTTCAGCGAGGAGAACAGAATGGAGTTGGCAGGCACCGTCCAGGAGGCTCGGGGCACTCCAAGGAAGGAATCCAGAGGGGTGGCCCAGGAGAGGCCTTGGATGACGGACTCACAGCTGGCGCTTGCCTGAGGGCAGTGGGAAGCTGGAGAGGGTTTGGAGCAGGGAAGAGGTGTGTTTCGGAAGCTCACCTAGAGGCTTGGCCTCGGAAAGGGCTCTGGGGGCAGTCACATCCAGCCTGTCCTCTCCCAGCACCCGCATGGCCCTGTCCCTTAGGGAGGTGGGTCCATGGCCCTGGTTTGGCTTCTAGGCTGACCTTCTTGGAATCTTCCTTCCTCTTCACCTGTCCGTGCCTGGCTTCTGGGCACACCATCTCTCAGGTCTGGGCTAGGGGCAGCAAGGAGACCCGCAGCAGACAGTTGACCTCCGCCATGTGACTTGGACACTTCCTCGTGTACAGGGGCAG